TCAAGGACTTTGTCGACTGGTGTGAGCGCAACCACTTGTGCTTGAACACCAGTAAGACCAAGGAGATGGTCATTGACTTCAGGAGAAAACCACTTTCCCACACGCTGCTGAACATCCAGGGGGAGGACATTGAGCTGGTGGACAGCTTCAAGTACCTGGGTGTTCACATTAACAATAAACTGGACTGGTTCCATAACATAAACGCCCTGCACAAGAAGGGCCAAAGTCGCCTCTTCCTTCTGAGGAGGCTGAGGTCCTTCGGAGTGAGCAGGCCTCTGCTCAGGACTTTTTATGACTCTGTGGTAGCTTCTGCCATTTACTACGCTGCCGTGTGCTGGGCCCCGGGCAGCACAGAGCGGGACAGAAACAGACTGAACAAGCTGGTCAGGAGGGCCAGCTCCACTCTGGGCTGCTCCCTGGACTCTGTGGAGGAGGTGAGGGACAGGAGGTGCTAGCCAAAGCCACCTCCATCATGAACAATACCTCCCACCCACTGCACAGGACTGTAGAGGAGCTGAGGAGCTCCTTCAGTGGAAGACTGAGGCACCCTCAGTGTAGGAAGGAGCGCTACCGCAGGGCCTTTATCCCCACTGCTGTCAGACTGTACAATAAGTCACTTTAAATGATCACTGTGTGAAAACCTGCACTACTATTGACACTGTTTCCAATTGACACTTGTCACTTTTGTTGTACATAATTATTGTCACTTTATTGTACATATATCCTGCATGTAACATGTTTGCACATTTCCTCCTTTTGCACAATCTGAGTGTTCTATCCATGCCAAATGTGACATGTAAATTTCTCCTCTGTGAGATAAATAAAGCAATCTTATCTTATCTTATCTTATAAAGTGCTATTGTTGAAGTGCTTATATACAGTGCCATTAAAGTGCTTATATACAGTGCTATTGTTAAAGTGCTTATATACAGTGCTATTGTTAAAGTGCTTATATACAGTGCTATTGTTAAAGTGCTTATATACAGTGCTATTGTTAAAGTGCTTATATAAAGTGCTATTGTTGAAGTGCTTATATACAGTGCCATTAAAGTGCTTATATACAGTGCTATTGTTAAAGTGCTTATATACAGTGCTATTGTTAAAGTGCTTATATACAGTGCTATTGTTAAAGTGCTTATATAAAGTGCTATTGTTGAAGTGCTTATATACAGTGCCATTAAAGTGCTTATATACAGTGCCATTAAAGTGCTTATATACAGTGCTATTGTTAAAGTGCTTATATACAGTGCTATTGTTAAAGTGCTTATATACAGTGCTATTGTTAAAGTGCTTATATAAAGTGCTATTGTTGAAGTGCTTATATACAGTGCCATTAAAGTGCTTATATACAGTGCTATTGTTAAAGTGCTTATATACAGTGCTATTGTTAAAGTGCTTATATACAGTGCTATTGTTAAAGTGCTTATATACAGTGCTATTGTTAAAGTGCTTATATACAGTGCTATTGTTAAAGTGCTTATATAAAGTGCTATTGTTAAAGTGCTTATATACAGTGCCATTAAAGTGCTTATATACAGTGCTATAGTTAAAGTGCTTATATACAGTGCTATTGTTAAAGTGCTTATATACAGTGCTATTGTTAAAGTGCTTATATAAAGTGCTATTGTTGAAGTGCTTATATACAGTGCCATTAAAGTGCTTATATACAGTGCTATTGTTAAAGTGCTTATATACAGTGCTATTGTTAAAGTGCTTATATACAGTGCTATTGTTAAAGTGCTTATATACAGTGCTATTGTTAAAGTGCTTATATAAAGTGCTATTGTTAAAGTGCTTATATACAGTGCCATTAAAGTGCTTATATACAGTGCTATTGTTAAAGTGCTTATATACAGTGCTATTGTTAAAGTGCTTATATACAGTGCTATTGTTAAAGTGCTTATATTCTTTTAAAAGTAGTCGTCGCATCCGTGCTTCAGTTTGTTGAAGTGATGAAGATGAAGTTCCGTTTGATGAAAATGCACATGTTTAAAAGACATTGTAATTGTGTGAGCTCGAATAAAGTCTTCTAAACAACAGACTCAAAACTGGAAGTCAAATCATTTCTAATAAAGTCAAATTCAACATAGATAATTTCCGGTTCATCAGATCCAATTTATCACTTCAGTCTGAAAGATTATTCATGTTCTCTGTGGTTCTGTGGCACATTACTGGTTAACCACATGGTCTCAGGCAAACAAAACATCCATAAAACCAATAGAATCATTACACAAGCACAAAACACCACCTTCTAAGTTGGGAACATTTCATCAAATACTTTAATCTCTAATCTCTGTCTCATCTACAAGATCATCCATGGTTCATCTTCACACCACACCACAGCAGGTGACCAGGGGGGGACCAGGGGGTGACCAGGGGGGAACCATGGTAACCAGGGGGTGACCAGGGGGTAACCAGGGGGTGACCAGGGGGTAACCAGGGGGTAACCAGGGGGTGACCAGGGGTGACCAGGGGGGAACCATGGTAACCAGGGGGTAACCAGGGGGTGACCAGGGGGTAACCAGGGGGTGACCAGGGGGTGACCAGGGGGTGACCAGGGGGGAAACATGGTAACCAGGGGGTGACCAGGGGGGAACCATGGTAACCAGGGGGTGACCAGGGGGTGACCAGGGGGTAACCAGGGGGTGACCAGGGTGGAACCATGGTAACCAGGGGGTGACCAGGGGGGAACCATGGTAACCAGGGGGTAACCAGGGGGTGACCAGGGGGGTGACCAGGGGGTAACCAGGGGGGAAACCAGGGGGTGACCAGGGGGTAACCAGGGGGGAACCATGGTAACCAGGGGGTGACCAGGGGGTAACCAGGGAGTAACCAGGGGGTGACCAGGGGGTAACCAGGGAGTAACCAGGGGGTGACCAGGGGGGAACTAGGGGGTAACCAGGGGGTGACCAGGGGAGCCGCCCGTGGGGACTGTTATCTGGAGAAGCGCCCTCAGCCAGAGCCTTCTCTGTGAGGGCGTCTCAGGAGTGGACAAGTCCCACCGAACATCAGAGAGCTCGGGTTCATCACAGACGTGTCCACACTAACTTTTAACTGATTGTTTTTATGGTAAATGTACAGTTATTTTATTATTGATGTTTTGTTTATAAGTGTTTGTTTTTAGGTTGACATTTTAAACCTGTCCAGGACAACGGATTTAAAATAGTCTTGTGGCTAATTCAGGTACATTTACAGTGATGTTCATTAATGTACAGTCACCGTCAAAGAAACAAATTAAACAATTGAAAACACCTCAACATTATTATCATTACATATGTAAGGGATAATGTATAGCATACAGGTCATTATCGGAAAATAAGTACCGACAGGGCGAAGCGGACCCCGACGCGCAGCGGAGGGGTCTGCTTCCGCCCTGAAGGTACTTATTTTCCGATAATGACCTGTATGCTATACATTATCCCGCTTATTATACTGCTTTGTACCAACTTAACACACAAAATAAACTTCATATCACTTTTATGAATGCCAAAAGTTTATTTAATGACAACAAATAAAGTAGTCCCAAAAAGTTTTCCCGTTGCTCGGCAACCGCGGGCAGGCAGTGTGGCTTTGACAAAATGTGTGGCTATGCTAGTAACAGTTAGGCTGGCAACTTCCAAACTAGAACTCCCTGGAACTGCATGAATGCACAGGACACGCAAGCACATCCTTGGCGTTGTAACAGCACACACCAGAGCTGAAGAAGAAAACACCTGCAGCAAGCAAATCTCTAGTGGGAAGAAAAAAAAAGTTTAAAAAACATAGAATAAATTATAAACTCTAACAGAGTGACTATGATCCAAACCGTGTAATCATTCGTGGATATGAGGCGTGGGGGGCTGGGCCCCAGGCAGGTGCACACACTCTAGTTTTATAGTAAAAGCAGAATATCCTTTGGCCACAAGTGTCTCCAGCAGCACCGTGTCCTTATGTGGTCTTAATAAAGCAGAGAAGCCGCACGCAGGTGGACTCGCTTCCTGTATCACAATCACAATCACAGAGAGGTCTTGAACTCTAAACTTCAGCACAGGCATACAGTGGACAGGCTCAGAAGTCAACCTTAACTTTTCCACTTGTTGCACTTCACAACACTTTAAAGATTGAAATAATATGGTAAAATACTCATAATGAATTGATTGATCTAGTACTAATTAAAAACATTATAATTATCTTGGGGGTTCTGCCCAGTTATTTTGGCCGTTTCTAGCACTGCACATTTCTGAATTCACCTTTGTCACGCCACGATGTCTGGTTGGGGATCTGCATTACCATCTTGTCAGTGGCTGTATCTGGAAGTACCACAGGGATCCTTTGTTGTTCATCTCTTTGGAGGTGGTCCCATTTCGATGTTGAGGGTATGTTTATGTGATCAAATATGAGCCTGCGTGTAGTTACCGTCTGATTCCTCTGATTATTTGATTGTTAAAAAAGCTGAGATTATCATGATTTCCACCTAATATTTGGGGACATTTATTATTATTATTCAAATAACTTCCTGTTTTAAGGAGGAGGTTCTGCAGGTCTCCCAGCTGCTGTCTGACGTATGAGGATATTGCTGAGGCCCGTACATGGTTCATCCGGAAATAGTAAATACTAACCAATTTCAGAATATCCACTGAATGTCACACAACTTACTTTATGTATCCTTCCATGTATGTATATATTGTAAAAATACGTTTAAAAAATAACAGCATTACAAGGTATAAAAGTAAAACTAAGAGCACCATTTTTCATTGTGTCATTTAGGTGCCAGGGGTTTGTAATTGGCTCAAGCAGGTATGGATCTCTCTGTGTTGAGATGCTTATTGTTGTCTCCTATACCTTAACCTTAACAACCACGTGGACGTGCACCTAAAACTAACAAGCCGAGAAGATTAGCACTGGTTCGGAGGTGCAGCTGAAAGCCACAGCTCAGCCTGAAGGGATATACAGTATGTCTACATGGGACTAACTTTAGAAAGTGCACAGATACAAAACTTGCCTTTAAATGCTGTGAGTTCATGTGGAACAAGGAGCAATGGTCAGAGGCATGAGCTAAATGGGTGGGTGGTGTTAAACTAACATGGCTCTTTCTCCAATCACACCATGTCCACTGTCAAAAACATGTGGGTGGCATCATAATTACTATGGACTGCTATCATTCTGCCGCGGATCGGGAAGAGTGTCAAACAGTTTGACGCAGACCTGGCAGAAAAATTCTTTTTAAAGACGGGATTTGTTGTGAATTTGTTATAATTCTTGGAAATCTTTTCAATTATACGGAAATACATTATCTTTGTTTGTGGTCAGAACATGATAAAATGTGGATTTGATCAAGTAGCATGAATATTTTTGAGAACCTGACCAGCCAGGTTGAAAAAATAAAACCTTGTCTGGTCCTGATGTGGGGTCATCGCGTAAACAATTGTAAGCACCAGGGCCTACTGGACTGCTGTGCCTTCTTTACAATGGAGTCATATACCTTGGTCTTTTTGGATGGCATCTGTCACTCTAGGGTCAGATGTCAAACTTGATGTGATAGTTCTGGTTGGGTTCTCATGCAATTTCCAATCTTTCTCTATCCATTTGGACCTGTTTGAATATGTCTGAACAATTATTGAAAGGTGAATTAAATATTTGGACTACTTGGGTGGGCATTACCATCAACAGAAATGGAGCCATGTTTAATTTCATCAGTGCGTTTTTCTTCTCAATAACTTTGCTCAGTTTGATTGGAATTACTTTTTCTGAAATGGTCTATTTATTCTCTTGAGATGTTGGTGGCATTCCACTGTGGGGGGCATCTTGTTGAACTAGTTTTGAAGAATTGTCATTTTCTGTTAGTGAGTGTGGGGCTATACTTCCTCTTCAAGTCATGTTTTAAAGGTTGTGGATGAGGCTGTTTTATTGTAGAATGAAGTAAACCGAAGCCTTACATTGGTGCCGTAAAAGAGGAAACAAGGAATCGCTCCGAGTGGATTCACAAGAAAACCTGAATTTAAATTAAAAACAAAACAAATGTTATAATATTGATATTTAATTTGTGTATTTAAAAGTGCATTGAAAACCTAAGACAAAGCTACACAAACACATGTTCATTTATGTTTTTATTTGCTGTAGTCTTTGAGCTCAATCAGAACAAATTTGAAAATGTCCTTATTTCTTAACTTAAACTCAACATACCATGGGTCAGTGATCAGTAGGTGGGGCTGCATTTCAATGTATGTAGATTTAAGGGGCTGTCAGACTTGGACACTGCTATCAAGTGACCTCCCGAGATGATCTCCCTTATTTTCACTCTAAAGTCTAACACAAACCATGTTTTCGTGTGACAGTCATGAAAATTACCCAGGGTGCTGTTGCTACAGGATATAGAAAATCAGGCAGGCCATGGCCCAAAGCCCGTGTGTGGATAACGGATAATTCTATGTGACTTACAGGAAGAGGAAGAAGGGGAAGAAGAGGAAAAAGGGGAAGAAGAGGAAGAAGAGCAAGAAGAGGAAAAAGGGGAAGAAGAGGAAGAAGAGGAAGAAGAGGAAGAAGGGGAAGAAGAGGAAGAAGGGGAAGAAGAGGAAAAAGGGAAAGAAGAGGAAGAACAGGAAGAAGAGGAAGAAGGGGAAGAAGAGGAAGAAGAGGAAGAAGGGGAAGAAGAGGAAGAAGGGGAAGAACAGGAAGATGAGGAAGAAGAGGAAGAAGGGGAAGAAGGGAAAGAAGAGGAAGAAGGGGAAGAATAGGGAAGAAGAAGAGAAGTAAGAAGAATGTGTTGTAAGGGACTGAAAGTGTTGTAAAGTGCTAAATACGTTGTAAAGTGCTAAATGTGTTGAAAGGTGTTGAATTTGTTGTAAAGTGCTAAATGTGTTGTAAGGTGTTGAATTTGTTGTAAAGTGCTAAATGTGTTGTAAAGTGCTAAATGTGTTGTAAGGTATTGAATTTGTTTTAAGGTGTTGAATGTGTTGTAAAATGCTAAATGTGTTGAATTTGTTGTAAAGTGCTAAATGTGTTGTAAGGTGTTGAATGTGTTGTAAAGTGCTAAATGTGTTGTACAGTGTTGAATTTGTTGTAAGGTGCTGAATGTGTTGTAAGGTGTTGAATTTGTTGTAAAGTGCTAAATGTGTTGTAAGGTGTTGAATTTGTTGTAAAGTGCTAAATGTGTTCTAAGGTGTTGAATTTGTTGTAAAGTGCTAAATGTGTTGTAAGGTGTTGAATGTGTTGTAAGGTGCTGAATGTGTTGTAAGGTGTTGAATTTGTTGTAAAGTGCTAAATGTGTTGAATTTGTTTTAAAGTGATAAATGTGTTGTAAGGTGTTGAATTAGTTTTAAAGTGCTAAATGTGTTGTAAGGTGCTGTAAGTGTTGTAAGATGTTGTAATGTATTGTATCTGTGGTAATGAATTGTTAGTGTGGTAATGTGTTGTATGGGGAGTAATCTGTTGTACTGGTCCAATGTAAGTCTATGGGAAAAAGTGCTTGAACTTTTGTTAATATCTGAAAAAGTGCTAAAGGTGGAAGTGTGAAAAGTAATAGCAATAATGAGACGGTGAAGCCGGTCGTAACGATGTATAATTTGTTGAATTTGGTGAAAGCGTTGAAGAGTTGAAAAGTGCCAAAATCTGGCGGAAGTGGAAGAAGAAGAAGAAGAAGAAGAATAAACAGTAGGAGAGCATATAGTGGCTGCATAGTCTATGCAGCCACTCAATAACGGACGGAACCTGGTATCACTAGACGTTTCCAAGGCCGAGTGGCGTCTTTCCCTCCGAAACCTGGCGCCCCTGAGTCTGACAGCTCCATGGGCAGCTGAGCCTTCATCCATGACCGCAGAGGGACACATGAATGCCCGCACACATCCCCTGTTTACCCTCATGAGGAGGCGGCTCTCACACTGACACTGACCCGGGGAAGATGCCTCATGCCCGGGTACCGCTGGTAGAAGATGGCGGAGTCGGATGGAGGGGATTTTGTCTCGACTCTTTCCCAGAACAGGTGAGCGGAGCCCGGGAGGAGACAGTTAGCATCTGTTAGCATCTGTTAGCATCTATTAGCATCTGTGTAATGCCTGTGGCTGGACTCAAAATATGCAAACGTGATTCCAAACTATCCTTTAATGAGACAAAGCAACGCCAGGTTCGAGTGTAATTTAAAGCTGGGGTGCGTAACTTTAACTAACACCGAAACTCTACTAATCCCAAGTCTCTGGTCAGGAGGCTCTGATACTGTTTTCATAGTTTTCATGTATTTCTGTCTCTGTCTCATCTTCAGTTTAGCTTTTTCTGACAGAAAAGTGAAAAAGAGAGGACCACCCTCGTGCAGCCAATCAGCTCTCAGCTCTCAGCCCAAATTGTCTGATCAATTAGAACATAGAGTTGAGGACAGGACATTTTGGCTCTGATGAACTGGGCATTTTGGCTCTGATGAACTGGACATTTATGGCTCTGATGAACTGGACATTTTGGCTCTGATGAACTGGACATTTTGGCTCTAAAGAACTGGACATTTTGGCTCTAAAGAACTGGACATTTTGGCTCTAAAGAACTGGACATTTTGGCTCTGAACTGGACATTTTGGCTCTGATGAAGGAGCTGAGGTCTTGTTTGTGCGCAGCTCGAATGCTCAGTTTCCTCAAAGCTCTTGTGTCCATTAGCGACTTCCTGCCATTAGCGTATCACAAGAAGGCGGGTTTATTTGTATGGCACAATTCATACTCAAAGATAGTCACAAAATACATAAACACAGTACATAACAGAAAATAATCCCTCAGTTTTAGCACAGCTAAAGTATACTGTACATGTCTCAGTATGTGACTCAGTATACATGTCTCAGTATGGTGTCAGTATACATGTCTCCACAATATACATGTCTCAGTATACATGTCTCCACAGTATACATGTCTCCACAGTATACATGTCTCCACAGTATACATGTCTCCACAGTATACATGTCTCCACAGTATACATGTCTACACAGTATACATGTCTCAGTATACATGTCTCAGTATACATGTCTCAGTATACATGTCTCCACAGTATACATGTCTCCACAGTATACATGTCTCAGTATACATGTCTCCACAGTATACATGTCTCCACAGTATACATGTCTCCACAGTATACATGTCTCCACAGTATACATGTCTCCACAGTATACATGTCTCAGTATACATGTCTCCACAGTATACATGTCTCCACAGTATACATGTCTCAGTATACATGTCTCCACAGTATACATGTCTCAGTATACATGTCTCCACAGTATACATGTCTCCACAGTATACATGTCTCCACAGTCTACATGTCTCAGTCTACATGTCTCCACAGTATGGCTAGCCCCCTGCGCTGCACCTTCTCGGCCCCCGGTCACAGCACTCTTCTTCTTCAGGGCCTCTCTGCGCTCAGAGCTCGCGGTCAGCTGCTGGACGTGGAGCTGTCAATCAACCAGGAGAGCTTCAGAGTCCACAAGGCGGTTCTGTCGGCCTGCAGCGACTACTTCAGGTCAGTGTGGGTACTGCAGGTCAGTCTAGGTACTTCAGTTCAGTGTGGGTACTGCAGGTCAGTCTGGGTACTACAGGTCAGTGTGGGTACTGCAGGTCAGTGTGGGTACTACAGGTCAGTGTGGGTACTGCAGGTCAGTGTGGGTACTGCAGGTCAGTGTGGGTACTGCAGGTCAGTGTGGGTACTGCAGGTCAGTGTGGGTACTGCAGGTCAGTGTGGGTACTACAGGTCAGTGTGGGTACTGCAGGTCAGTGTGGGTACTGCAGGTCAGTCTAGGTACTTCAGGTCAGTGTGGGTACTGCAGGTCAGTCTGGGTACTACAGGTCAGTGTGGGTACTGCAGGTCAGTGTGGGTACTACAGGTCAGTGTGGGTACTGCAGGTCAGTGTGGGTACTGCAGGTCAGTGTGGGTACTGCAGGTCAGTGTGGGTACTGCAGGTCAGTGTGGGTACTACAGGTCAGTGTGGGTACTGCAGGTCAGTGTGGGTACTGCAGGTCAGTGTGGGTACTGCAGGTCAGTGTGGGTACTACAGGTCAGTGTGGGTACTACAGGTCAGTGTGGGTACTGCAGGTCAGTGTGGGTACTACAGGTCAGTCTGGGTACTGCAGGTCAGTGTGGGTACTGCAGGTCAGTCTAGGTACTTCAGGTCAGTGTGGGTACTGCAGGTCAGTCTGGGTACTGCAGGTCAGTGTGGGTACTGCAGGTCAGTGTGGGTACTACAGGTCAGTGTGGGTACTGCAGGTCAGTGTGGGTACTGCAGGTCAGTGTGGGTACTGCAGGTCAGTGTGGGTACTGCAGGTCAGTGTGGGTACTGCAGGTCAGTGTGGGTACTACAGGTCAGTGTGGGTACTACAGGTCAGTGTGGGTACTGCAGGTCAGTGTGGGTACTGCAGGTCAGTGTGGGTACTGCAGGTCAGTGTGGGTACTGCAGGTCAGTCTGGGTACTACAGGTCAGTGTGGGTACTACAGGTCAGTGTGCGTACTGCAGGTCAGTGTGGGTACTGCAGGTCAGTGTGGGTACTGCAGGTCAGTGTGGGTACTGCAGGTCAGTGTGGGTACTACAGGTCAGTGTGGGTACTGCAGGTCAGTGTGGGTACTTCAGGTCAATGTGTGAGTAGCGCCCCCTTATGTCTGACTGTAGCGACCCCTTGTGTCTGACTGTGGCGCCCCCTTGTGTCTGACTGTAGCGCCCCCTTGTGTTGCAGGGCCATGTTCACCGGTGGGATGCGTGAGTCGACGCAGGAGGCCATCGAGCTGCGCGGTTTGTCGGCGCGCGGCCTCAAACACATCATAGACTTCGCGTACAGCGCAGAGGTGACTCTGGACCTGGACTGTATCCAGGACGTTCTCGGCGGCCGCGGTGTTTCTGCAGATGCTGCCGGTGGTAGAGCTGTGCGAGGAGTTCCTGAAGTCGGCCATGAGCGTGGACACGTGTCTGCACATCGGGCAGATGGCGACCGCCTTCAGCCTGGCGTCGCTGAAGGAGTCTGTGGACACTTTCACCTTTAGACACTTCAGGCAGATCTCGGAGCAGGAGGATTTCCTCCAGTTGCCGCTGGAACGCCTGCTCTTCTTCCTTCAGAGCAACAAGCTGAAGGCGTGCAGCGAGCTGGACCTGTTCCACGCCGCCATCCGTTGGCTGCAGTTTGAGGAGGACCGGCGTGCTCAGGCCAGTGCCGTGTTGAGCCACGTGCGCTTCCCGCTGATGCGCTCGTCGGAGCTGGTGGACTCTGTGCAGAAGGTGGACGTGATGGTGGAGGACGTGGAGTGTCGACAGTTCCTCCTCGAGGCCTTTAACTACCAGATCCTGCCGTTCCGCCAGCACGAGATGCAGTGTGCGCGCACGCTCATCCGCTCAGACGTGCTGTCGCTCATCACGTTCGGAGGAACGCCGTACACCGACCACGACCGCACGGTGAGCAGCCGCGTGTACCAGCTGCCCGACACCTCTGCGCGCCACTTCAAAGAGCTGACGGAGATGGAGGCGGGCGTCAGCCACGCCTGCGTTGCCGCGCTCGATAACTTTGTGTATGTTGTGGGCGGGCAGCACCTGCAGTACCGCAGCGGCGAGGGAGCGGTGGACTCTTGCTACAGATACGACCCGCACCTCAACCAGTGGCTGCGCATCCAGAACCTGCAGGAGGCGCGCATCCAGTTCCAGCTGAACGTGCTGCACGGCAAGCTCTACGCCACCGGGGGGCGCAACCGCTCCGGCAGCCTGTGCTCGGTGGAGGTGTACTGCCCCAAGAAGAATGAGTGGAGCTACGCGCAGCTGCTGAAGCGCAGAGTGTGGGGCCACGCCGCCGCCACGTGCGCAGAGCGACTGTACGTGTCCGGAGGATACGGCGTGTCGCTGGACGACAAGAAGGCGCTGCACTGTTACGACGCGCAGAACGACCAATGGGAGTTCAAAGCCCCCATGACGGAGCCGCGTGTGCTGCACGCCATGGTGAGCTGCGGCGAGCGTGTGTACGCAGTGGGCGGGCGCATGGACCACGTGGACCGCTGCTTCGACGTGCTGGCGCTGGAGTGTTACAGTCCGGAGAGCGACTCGTGGAGCGCGCTCAGCCCCATGCGCGTGGGGCAGTCGGAGGCGGGCTGCTGCCTGCTGCAGCACCGCATCTACGTGATCGGAGGATACAACTGGCACCTGAACAACGTGACGAGCGTCGTGCAGGTCTTCAACACGAGGACCGACGAGTGGGAGCGCGACCTGCACTTCCCAGAGTCCTTCGCCGGCATCGCCTGCACGCCCATCATCCTGCCGCAGAGCGCGCAGCTCTGAGCAGCTCTGTCCCTCGGAGCCTCTGACGTAGACCTAGTTCCGTGACGCAGTAATCGTCCAGAGGAACATGGACAGTTTTATGATTGTTTTGACCCTAAATACTTGATTCACTGTAGACTTTCATTTGTTTTAAATTAAACCAATGTTTTTGAATATAGACCCCCGAGTCCCCTCTGCCCCAGGGCAGACTGGGACAGGAGTGGCTGCATGTACTGCACATAGGACTTTTTGGATGTTACATTAGCACAGGTACCATTTCTCACAGAAACTGTTCCTGAGCTCGAGGAGTTTACTTTATTAGGAGCCAGAGTGAAGTGGACCAAAATGTCCTCTTTGGCTTTGTTGAGTTAGCCAGTTAGCAATGAGTTAGCAAGTTAGCAATGAGTTAGCAAGTTAGCAATGAGTTAGCAAGTTAGCAATGAGGTAGCAAGTTAGCATTGAGTTAGCAAGTTAGCATTGCGGGCACTGCAATGAGCCCATATCGATGATGAACCAAAATTAGACGTGTAAAAGGAAGAAATAAACACAATCCTTTGAAAAAGAGCCCTCAGTCTGGGGCTTGTCTGTTCTGAGGAGGTAGAGCGCCCCCTAGCCCCTCCTCGGCACGTCAGAGAAGTACTACATCAGAAACCTCAGAAACCATTCTCCTGTGCTGTTGTCAGTCCAGTTAAAAGCTGTTGTTACATAATGAGTCTGTTCATCCACTCGTGCTCGTCGTGGTCCTCGTTCTGTGTCTCAGCAGCTCCAGGCTTCAGTCCTGAATGTTCCCTTCGAGATCCTGTAGAAACGTGTTCTGATATTTACTTGTGATTCTCGTCAGAAAGAGGCTTAAGCACAAAAAATAAGTAGGCTGAGGCACAATATACAAATTTGATCACAAAAAATGGTTGGAATTATTAGACCACAGAGAGAGAGATAGAGAAAGACCAGGGAGAGAGAGACCGGAGAGCGAGAGAGGGACCAGCGAGAGACCAGCGAGAGACCAGAAAGTCTTAAATAAAAGTACCTGTCATGTTATAGTAGTGTTTATATGATATTGTCGGAGTAAACACAGATGCATTAAAGCGAGCAGTAAAAAGCACAAAGAGAAGCCGCGAAAGGTTCACGAGGGACTAGAATGATTAGGGACTAGAATGATTAGGGACTAGAATGATTAGGGACCAGAATGATTTGGGACCAGCACAAAAGTCAAAAATGTCCCATCACGTTTTTTGAAATTGTACTTGAACTGGACTCACAAATCTCTGATCACTTCCTGAACGTGAAGACCGCAGTAGAGTGTTCCGAGGACCGGCGCTGTCCCTCGGGCCACAGGTTGGTGAGGCGGTGATTCAGTCCAAGTCTTAATTTTCTTTGAAGCCACAGCTGCCCTGGCCCAGTGTGTGTCTAAAATGTTAAAGTGAATGTTGCCCTTTGAGAAATTCTTACTCTGCGTGTTACGGGTTTTCACCTTTAGGTTTCTGGTGATCATTAAGTGTTATGAATGAAAGCTTTGCACCAAACACAGACACATTGTAGGTTTTGTTTTTATTTTGGATCAAAGTCTGTCCCAAAGATCGGTCCAGTCTCCAGCTCTGAGCTCCTCAAAGGGCCGTGCTGCTGCGGGTCTTCATTCCAACAAAGCAGGACCAAATTCCACCCAGTTCCTCAAGTGAGAGAGAGACCCGAGAGAATGGACCAAAGAAAGAGACCAGAGAGAGAGAGGGACCAGAGAGAAAGACCGAGAGAGACCAGAGAAAGAGACCGGAGAGAGGGACCAGAGAGAGAGAGAGAGCCCGAGAGGGACTAGAGAGAGAGCGGGACCAAAAAGAGAACACGACCAAACAGAAAAGTGACATACCAGAGAGAGAGACCAGAGAGAGAGACCTGAGGGAGAGACCAGAGAGAGAGGGACTAGAGAGACCTGAGGGAGAGACCAGAGAGAGAGGGACCAGAGAGACCTGAGGGAGAGACCAGAGCGAGAGGGATCAGAGAGAGAGACCTGAGGGAGAGACCAGAGAGAGAGGCACCAGAGAGAGACCTGAGGGAGAGACCAGAGCGAGAGGGATCAGAGAGAGAGAGACCTGAGGGAGAGACCAGAGCGTGAGAGATCAGAGAGAGAGAGACCTGAGGGAGAGACCAGAGCGTGAGAGATCAGAGAGAGAGACCTGAGGGAGAGACCAGAGCGTGAGAGATCAGAGAGAGAGACCTGAGGGAGAGACCAGAGAGAGACCTGAGGGAGAGACCAGAGCGAGAGAGATCAGAGAGAGAGAGGGACCAGAAGATCATATCAGAGTTGGTGCTGGGTGTTCTGTCTTTGAAATGCCTTTGTGTATAAAGCACATTCTTCTTCCTGTTAAGTGCAATATTAAAACCAGAGGAATGTAAACCGCTGTGACTGTGTCCCTCATTAAAACATGTTTGAAACGACTCCTGTCTCCGCGTCTTCAGCCTCAGGTCACTGTGCGTGTGTGGCAACACTGGAATTTCCCCACCGACACCTATTACCAGCACCACATGGAAACATAGACACTGTAACATCAGCACAAATCTGTTTTCTTCACTTCTTCAGACAGTGTGATCAAATGTACGTCTATCCTAGTGGAATGACGCCCCCTGCAGGTCAGCAGCTGTAGTTTCAGCTGTTTAACGTCTCGCATGGCTTTGCAAACGTGAAAGTGAAAGTTCAGTTTTTGTCCATATCTTGTCAGTGTCCTCAACCAGAGAACTCACGGGGCAGTCAATTTGACGGGTTTCTGTTTGGAAGCATAATTACGCAGCACATGTGCTCATTTTTACTCTTCTTGGTTCAGTCCTGGTTCTGGTTTAGTTCTGGGTTAGTCCTGGATTAGTCTGGGCTTAGTTTTGGTTCTGGCTTAATTCTGGTCCCTTAGTCTTGGTCCTGGTAAGTAAGTAATGTTTGTTAATATACCGCCTTTCACAAAGCAGTTTACAATTGTTATTTTTGGGCATTTGTCTCTCACTCCACACAAAGATGGGAGCGGGGTCGCTTGTTCTTAGTGGTAGGGGAAACCGGAGTACTCGGAGAAAAACTACGCAGAACCCGGAGAACATGCAAACTCCACTCAGAAAGGTCCGACCGTGATTCGAACCCAGGACCTTTTTGCTGAGAGGCGACTCTCACACTCTCACACTCAGCCACCGTGCCGTCTAACAGCATGATTGAATCAGCAGACTGAATCAATAAATACTTATTAAGAGATAACTGCTGTGATTTAGGGCAGACAGAGATACATCTGCCGCTTATGGACCAATAGCTGTGTTTGTTTTTTTTTTTTTTATCATTGCATTGATTCTCAGATCTGCATTGGCAAATTGACAACTTTGTACAGTCCTCCGACATATCTACTGTTGTGATTTAGGGCGATTCAAAAATAAATTGAATTGAAAGAACATTTCAACCATATAGTGAACATGTTCCCCGTGTGCAGCCAATCAGAGCCGCTGTCTCGCTGATGTAGGACTGGGTGAAGGACACGCGGGAACTGTTGCAAAAGTCTCGAACCCCCCCTGGAAGATCAAAGAGCGGGAGCGCCCCTGCACGTGCGCGCTGACGCTGCGCTCGTGCGTCGCTTTCATTGAGAAGAAGACAAAGATGGCGTCCGCGAACAACCCGCGCAAATTCAGCGAGAAGATCGCGCTGCACACGGCCAAGCAGGCGGAGGAGACGGCCGCCTTCGAGGAGGTCATGAAGGAGCTCCATGTCAGCAGAGCGGCACGGGTGAGAGGCCAGGCTGCACCCGGGTTTGGGAGCTGCTCAGGCGGGCTCGGAGGGTCTGGGAGTGGGGCATCTTCTGGAGCTGGAGGAGGAGGATGCTGAGGCTGAGGATGGGGATGGAGGGGTACAGCAGCGGGGGGAGAGCAGGGCTGTACCCGGGGATGGATGCGTGTCGAGCGGTCACGTTGGGTCCGTGAGAGCGCGGGGGACAGATGTAAACAGTGGCCGTATGAGAAGAGACGCGGGGGGGATGCGGATGGAGCTGATGGAGACCTGCTCTGACAGTGAAACATAAACACGGGCCTTAAAGCTCGGGTACCTAACTTTATCTCGTCTCGACTCTAGAACTCCCAGAGCAGTCCATTTGACGGCTTTTCCTTGTGTAATTACTCGTTTGTACGTTTTGGGTCGTCATAACTTTGTGACTTTTTCTGTTTCCAAATGTAGTTTATTTCTGTTTATATGATTATAAAATGATCTCGATGCCGGACTGGTCCTGGACTGGTCCTGGACTGGTCCTGGACTGGTTCAGCACAGTCTCAGCTTGGAGAATGTGCTAGTTACTATAGCAACACACTGTTTACTAGCAGCAGTTAATTTTATGTTGTGCTTTTTTTTCGTTTAGTTAAACCGAATAACTAAAACAAGGCGAAACCTAAAACTGTAGAATCGATTTGAATGGAAGCCGTCAAAAACACTTTGAAACTGTGGTCTCTCTGTGGTCTCTATGTGGTCTCTATGTGGTCTCTCTCTGGTCTCTCTCTGGTCTCTCTCTGGTCTCTCCCTGGTCTCTCTCTGGTCTCTCTTTCTGGTCTCTCCCTGGTCTCTCCCTGGTCTCCCTTTGGTCTCTCTGGTCTCTCTCTGGTCTCTCTCAGTGGTCTATCTCTAGTCTCTCTCTCTGGTCTCTCTCTAGTCTCTCTCTGGTCTCTCTCTAGTCTCTCTCTCTGGTCTCTCTCTAGTCTCTCTCTCTGGTCTCTCTAGTCTCTCTCTCTAGTCTCTCTCTCTGGTCTCTCCCTGGTCTCTCTGGTCTCTCTCTCTGGTCTCTCTCTCTAGTCTCTCTGGTCTCTCTCTAGTCTCACTCTCTGGTCTCTCTCTGGTCTCTCTCTAGTCTCTCTCTCTGGTCTCTCTCTGGTCTCTCTCTAGTCTCTCTCTCTGGTCTCTCCCTGGTCTCTCCCTGGTCTCTCTAGTCTCTCTCTCTGGTCTCTCTCTCTCTCTCTCTCTGGTCTCTCTCTAGTCTCTCTCTAGTCTCTCTCTCTGGTCTCTCTGGTCTCTCTGGTCTCTCTCTGTGTCAGGTCTGAGGTCTGTGTGAGGTCTCTTTGGGTCCGTGGTTTTTCCGTGTTTCTGTAGAGATATTCATGGCGTTATCTGGACGTCCGTCTTCCATTTAGACCCTCATTCCCCCCTCACCCCTTTACCCTCACCCCCATCACCCCTTCACCCTCACCCCCATCACCCCCTCACTCTCACCCCCTCACCTCCACCATCCCCACACTGTTCTGTTGTCTCTGGTCTCTCTGAGCGATCGGAAAAAAGTATTTATTGCTTTTTCTCCCATTGTACTGATCCCATTTCTATTTTTCAAAAACCAATATATTCTGGCTCGATCCTTCGACTTTTGACACAGCTCTATTTTCCCAAAGTCAAAGTAAAAAAACAATTGGATGGTGTCTCTGTTTTTCTCTGTATTTTATCTTTTGGATAAATATGGAATGGAGTTAAAAGCCTTTTTTTATCCTTGTTAAATTGGGGTGAAGTGTTAGAATCGATGCGTGTGGAATTGAAAGTCCCCTGGTGTCAGATCCACATGGTATCAGCTGGTTCTGACAGACACCGTGGTCTTCGCTCTCTCTGTTGTTCTGTCTCTGGTTTCTCGTCTCATAGTTCCTCCTTTCTGTGATCATGGGTCATTCACGTTCTTCCATTGTAGCTGTTCCTCGTGGTCTGTCTCCTCTCTCTCTCTAAGTCTCACTCTGGTCTCTCTCTGGTCTCTCTCTCGTCCCTCTCCTCTCTCTGTTTGGTCTCCCTGGTATCTCTCCTGTCTCCCTGGTCTCTCTCCTCTCTGGTCTCTCTCTGGTCTCCCCCTCCTCTGTCCCCATGGTCTCTCTCCTCTCTCTCTGGTCTCTTTCTGGTCTTTCCTTGGTCTCTCTCTCCTCTCTCTCTGGTCTCTCTCTGGTCTCTCTCTCCTCTCTCTCTTGTCTCTCTCCTCTCTCTCTGGTCTCTCTTCTCTCTCCCTGGTCTCTCTCCTCTCTCTCTGGTCTCTCTTCTCTCTCCCTGGTCTCTCCCCTCTCTCTCTGGTCTCTCTCTTCTCTCTCGCTTGTCTCTCTCTGGTCTGTCTCCTCTCTCTCTGGTCTCTCTCTCCTCTCTCGCTTGTCTCTCTCTGGTCTCTCTCTGGTCTCTCCCCTCCCTCTGGTCTCTCTCTCTGGTCTTTCTCTTCTCTCTCGCTTGTCTCTCTCTGGTCTGTCTCCTCTCTCTCTGGTCTCTCTCTCCTCTCTCGCTTGTCTCTCCCCCCTCCCTCTGGTCTCTCTCTGGTCTCCCTCCTCTCTCTCTGGTCTCTTCCTGGTCTCTCCCCTCTCCCTCTGGTCTCTCTCTGGTCTCCCCCCTCTCCCTCTTGTCTCTCTGGTCCCCCCCCCCTCTCCCTCTGGTCTCCCCCCTCTCCCTCTGGTCTCTCTCTGGTCTCTCTCTCTCTGGTCATGGGTCATTCCTTCATGCTTTCACGCACTCTCACTTTGCGCAGTTGCAGCCGCAGAAGCCGCAGTTTTTGCAGCTAGGGCAGAGCGATGGCCAGTTCTATGGAGGCTCACTGCCCAATGTCACTCAGATTGGGACTGGCACCCATGACCTGCCCTTTCAGGTGAGCGCCAACGGTCCCCATGGTGTCTGTGGCTTTCTCTGTACAACACCTTTTCCTTTGATCTCTGGACTCAAACTGAATCTTGGACTGATCGATGGTCCGCTCCCGTTCAGGTCACCTGGTGTCTGTGTGTCGCGGGGGTTATGTGTTCTGTGAATATCCCACAATAAGTTAAATCCCTGAAGTAGCAACTCGCAAACACTTTTTACACTTTTTCTAATGACCTGAACTGAGAGAGAGACCAGAGAGAGAGAACTGAGAGAGACCAGAGAGAGAGACCAGAGAGAGAGACCAGAGAGAGACCAGAGAGAGACCAGAGAGAGACCAGAGAAAGACCAGAGAGACCAGAGAGAGACCAGAGACAGACCAGAGAGAGACTAGAGAGAGATGAGAGAGACCAGAAAGAGACCAGAGAGAGACCAGAGAGAGACCAGAGAGTGACTAGAGAGGGACCGAAAACACCAGAAAAGGCCATAGAGAGACCAGATAGAGACCAGATAGAGACCAGAAAGAGACCAGAGAGAGACCAGAGAGAGACCAGAGAGAGACCAGAGAGAGACCAGAGAGAGACCAGAAAGAGACCAGAGAGACCAGAGAGAGACCAGAAAGAGACCAGAGAGACCAGAGAGAGACCAGAGAGACCAGAGAGACCAGAGAGAGACCAGAGAAAGACCAGAGAGAGACCAGAGAGAGAGACCAGAGAGAGACTAGAGAGAGAGACCAGAGAGAGACCAGAGAGAGAGAACTGAGAGAGACCAGAGAGAGACCAGAGAGAGACCAGAGAGAGAGAACTGAGAGAGACCAGAGGGACCACAGAGAGTCCTCAGAGAGAAACCAGAAAGGGAGACCTGAGAGAGACCAGAGATAGACTATAGAGAAAGCAGAGAGACTAGAGAGAAACCAGAAAGAGAGCCGAGAGAGAGAGAGCAGAGAGAGACCAGAGAGAAACCAGAGGGACCAGTGAGAGATACCAGAGAGAGAGCTGAGAGAGACCAGAAAGAGAGAGAGAGAAGAGAGCGAGACGGGACCACAGAGTCCTCAGAGAGAGGCTAGAGAGAAACCAGAAAGAGAGACCAGAGAGAGACTATCGAGAGAGAGCAGAGAGAGACCAGTGAGAAACCAGATAGAAACCAGAAAGAGAGACCTGAGAGAAACCAGAGAGAAGCGAGTGAGACCTTTGAGAGACAAGAGAGAGAGAGCGCCAAGAGAAAAACCTCAAGAAAGGCCTGAGAGAGACCAGTGAGAGACTAAAGAGAAACCAGCGAGAGAGACCAGAGAAATACCAGAGAGAGAAACCAGAGAGAGACTAAACTTTGAAACTTTGGATTTAAATGCACTGTCACTTTAACAGCAGAATAGCAGCTGGATCATAGTCATTACTTAAACGTGTGGCGCCCAATGAGTTTTTTGGACCGACAGACTAGCTACTCCTGCTACTAGCTACTCCTGCTACTAGCTACTCCTGATACTAGCTACTCCTGTTGCTGGTCATTCGTTCAGCTCCAAACATCCCATTCACTGAAAACTCCAACGGCATCATCGCTTCCCATTCGCAGACTCAAAACCTTAGACCTATTCTCCCAAAGGACTGAGGCTGTAGATCCAGGACTGAGGCTGTAGACCCAGGACTGAGGCTGTAGACCCAGGACTGAGGCTGTAGACCCAGGACTGAGGCTGTAGACCCAGGACTGAGGCTGTAGACCCAGGACTGAGGCTGTAGACCCAGGACTGAGGCTGTAGACCCAGGACTGAGGCTGTAGACCCAGGACCGAGGCTGTAGATGTGAGTCCTGGTGCGGATGTCCAGAGGATGATGTTGGAAGTTTTGACTAAAACCACAGGCTTTTTCTTTTTTTATGGTTTTGTTCTTATTGATTTCAAGTCTTGACATTTCTCTCTGGTCCCTCTATGGTCTCCCTCTCGTCTTTCTCTGGTCTCTCTCTCTGGTCTCTCCTTCTGGTCTCTCGCTGGTCTCTCTCTGGTCTCTCTCTGGTCTCTCTCTGGTCCCTCTCTCTGGTCCCTCTCTCTGGTCTCTCTCTCTGGTCTATATCTGGTCCCTCTCTCTGGTCTATATCTGGTCCCTCTCTCTGGTCTATATCTGGTCTCTCTCTCTGGTCACTCTCTCTGGTCTCTCTCTCTGGTCTATATCTGGTCTCTCTCTGGTCTCTCCCTCTGGTCCCTCTCTCACGTCTATATCTGGTCTCTCTCTGGTCTCTCTGGTCATAGCTTGATGGTCCTCTGTCTCTCCCCTGAAGCAGAACTCGGTGCTGGACACCAGTCGCACCACGAGGCACCATGGTCTGGTGGACCGTGTTTACCGCGAGAGGAACCGCGTCACGTCCCCACATCGTCGTCCTCTGTCCGTGGACAAGCACGGGCGCCAGATATCCTTCAGAGACACACACACACATAGACACACACATAGACACACACACACACTCATACAGAGACACACACACACAGACACACACATAGACACAGACACACACACTCATACGCACACACACACACACACACTCATACAGAGACACGCAAACACAGACAGACACACACATAGACACAGACACACACAGACACATACAGAGACACACACACAGACACACACTCTTTACCTCCTCTTGATCTTTAACAGAGTCACATCGACAGTTGTCCGTACAGCTCCGTGTATCTGTCCCCTCCACCGGACACCAGCTGGAGAAGGTGATACACACACAGACACACACACATACGCACAGACACACGCACAGACACACACACATACGCACAGACACACGCACACACACACACACATACGCACAGACACACACACACACTTCTGTCGAAGTCTGAAAGTTACTACCGCAGCTTTAATAGTTCTCTTTCTCAGGACGAACTCGGACTCAGCTCTGCACCAGAGCACCATGAACCCCAAACCCCAGGACCTGTTCACCGGAGGCTCCCAGGAACTGCAGCCCAAACGAGGTGAGACCAGAGAGAGACCAGAGAGAGACCAGAGAGACCAGAGAGAGAGACAAGAGAGAGACCAGAGAGAGACCAGAGAGAGACCAGAGAGAGACCAGAGAGAGACCAGAGAGACCATAGAGAGAGAGAGAGAGACCAGAGAGAGACCAGAGAGACCAGAGAGACCAGAGAGAGACCAGAGAGAGACCAGAGAGAGACCAGAGAGAGACCAGAGAGAGAGACAAGAGAGAGACCAGAGAGAGACCAGAGAGAGACCAGAGAGACCATAGAGAGACCAGAGAGACCAGAGAGAGACCAGAGAGAGACCAGAGAGACCAGAGAGAGAGAGAGAGACCAGAGAGAGACCAGAGAGAGACCAGAGAGAGACCAGAGAGAGAGACCAGAGAGAGACCAGAGAGAGACCAGAGAGACCAGAGAGAGAGACAAGAGAGACCAGAGAGAGAGACCAGAGAGAGACCAGAGAGAGACCAGAGAGAGACCAGAGAGAGACCAGAGAGAGACCAGAGAGAGACCAATGAGAGACCAGAGAGAGACCAGAGAGACCATAGAGAGACCAGAGAGACCATAGAGAGACCAGAGAGACCAGAGAGAGACCAGAGAGAGACCAGAGAGAGACCAGAGAGAGACCAGAGAGACCATAGAGAGACCAGAGAGACCAGAGAGAGACCAGAGAGAGACCAGAGAGAGACCAGAGAGAGACCAGAGAGACCATAGAGAGACCAGAGAGACCAGAGAGAGACCAGAGAGAGACCAGAGAGAGACCAGAGAGAGACCAGAGAGAGACCAGAGAGAGAGACCAGAGAGAGAGACCAGAGAGAGACCAGAGAGAGACCAGATTCAGACCAGAGAGGGACCGAAAAGACCAGAGAGAGAAAGACCAGAAAAAGGCCATAGAGAGACCAGATAGAGACCAGAGAAAGACCAGAGAGAGACCAAAGAGACCAGAGAGACCAGAGAGAGACCAGAGAGAGAACAGGGAGAGACCAGAGAGAGAGACCAGAGAGAGACCAGAGAGAGGTGTTCCAGTCCAGGTAAGTTACAGACAGTAACTGCTCATATTTAAATGTGCTAACCAAATAAACTTGTGTCTGTTGTGGTCAGTGCTGCTGCTGTCTGTTCCTGGGGCAGAAGATTCCAGCGGCGACAAAGACCAGAAACAGATCTGGGACCAGGAGAAGGTCAGAATCTACCGCGGCTGAAGCTGGAACTCACACAAACAACACACCATATACACACACCATATGGATTTAGAAAGATCAAAGGAGTGGGCCGAGTGTGACATCACCTCAGAGTTCATGTGGAGGAACATAGGTTGGAGCCAATGTCCTTATAAGGGCATTCGTTCTGCGGCGTTAGCTTTGGGCCGTAACAGGGGCTAACGTGTTGCTAAGACGGTTGCTAAGGAAAAGCTGGAGTCCCCCACAAATGAAGGCCCCTGATTGGTCAATCCTTTTATGGTACAATATCACAATATACCAGGATCATAAAGGGTCCTGGTTTCTCTCTGGTCTCTCTCCCTAGTCTCTCTCTCTGGTCTCTCTCTCTGGTCTCTCTCTGGTCTCTCTCTGGTCTCTCTCTGGTCTCTCTCTGGTCTCTCCCGTCTCTCTCTGGTCTCTCCCTAGTCTCTCTCTGGTCTCTTTCTGGTCTCTCCCTGTTCTCTCTCTGGTCTCTCTCTGATCTCTCTCTGGTCTCTCTCTGGTCTCTCCCGTCTCTTTCTGGTCTCTCTCTCTGGTCTCTCCCTAGTGTCTCTCTGGTCTCTCTCTGGTCTCTCCCGTCTCTCTCTGGTCTCTCTCTGGTCTCTCCCTATGTGTCTCTCTGGTCTCTCTCTGGTCTCTCCCGTCTCTTTCTGGTCTCTCTCTCTCTGGTCTCTCCCTAGTGTCTCTCTGGTCTCTCTCTGGTCTCTCTCAGATCTCTTTCTCGTCTCTCCCTAGTGTCTCTCTGGTCTCTCCCTAGTCTCTTTCTGGTCTCTCTCTGGTCTCTCCCTAGTGTCTCTCTGGTCTCTCTCTGGTCTTTCTCCAGTGGTTCCTCAGTTATATATAAATAAATACTTTTGTTTTCAGGAAGATTCACAAAACCCGAACACGTGTGACGTCCCCGGAATCAGGTGAGTTTTTCTGCTCTCTCACTTCATCATCTGTCCTCTTTAAAGCTGAGGTCTGTAACCTTAAAGCTGGGGTATGTAACTTTTCGTACCCATGTCCCGTGTGTGTGCAGCATCTTCCCGTCTCCGGACCAGGAGCTGAGTCCGGTTCTGCCCGCGGCCCACAGCACCGGGGGGTCTCTCCCGGACCTCACCAACATCCAGTTCCCCCCTCCCCTCTCCACCCCCCTGGACCCCGACGACTCCATGGGCTTCCCCCCCCTCAGCTCCAGCACGGGCAGTCTGACCGGCAGCCTGACCACCAACCTGACCCACCTGGGCATCAGCGCCGCCAGCCACGGTCAGAACACGCCACACGCCATTTTATTGTTTGTTACACACAGTTAAAGCAGCAGTATGTGAGATGTTCATGTCCAGTCCTCCTTAACTCCTCCTTTTCTCTCTTTGTGAAAAAGGTGTTGGTTATAGATTTGTTGTTGACAAAACTCTTGTCTATTCAGCTGTTATGGTCCCAGCTGGATTCGTCTGCATATCTGGCAACCTGAGTCAGGGAGAGTGGGAGAGGCTGCAGTACCACTTAAGGCCACATTTTTTACATATTGGTCCTTTAATGAAGTTATTGACAAAAACTACAATCTTTGTGTTTTTTTGCTATTCCTATTGGGTCTGGTTCTGTGAGACTGTGGCATGTTCCTAGTACAGTCTGACAGTGGTGTGTTCGTAGTACAGTCTGACAGTGGTGTGTTTGTAGTACAGTCTGACAGTGGTGTGTTCGTAGTACAGTCTGACAGTGATGTGTTTGTAGTACAGTCTGACAGTGGTGTGTTCGTAGTACAGTCTGACAGTGGTGTGTTTGTAGTACAGTCTGACAGTGATGTGTTTGTAGTACAGTCTGACAGTGATGTGTTCGTAGTACAGTCTGACAGTGGTGTGTTCGTAGTACAGTCTGACAGTGGTGTTTTTGTAGTACAGTCTGACAGTGATGTGTTTGTAGTACAGTCTGACAGTGGTGTGTTTGTAGTACAGTCTGACAGTGGTGTGTTTGTAGTACAGTCTGACAGTGGTGTGTTTGTAGTACAGTCTGACAGTGGTGTGTTTGTAGTACAGTCTGACAGTGGTGTGTTTGTAGTACAGTCTGACAGTGGTGTGTTTGTAGTACAGTCTGACAGTGGTGTGTTCGTAGTACAGTCTGACAGTGATGTGTTTGTAGTACAGTCTGACAGTGGTGTGTTCGTAGTACAGTCTGACAGTGGTGTGTTTGTAGTACAGTCTGACAGTGATGTGTTTGTAGTACAGTCTGACAGTGATGTGTTTGTAGTACAGTCTGACAGTGATGTGTTCGTAGTACAGTCTGACAGTGGTGTGTTCGTAGTACAGTCTGACAGTGGTGTGTTCGTAGTACAGTCTGACAGTGGTGTGTTCGTAGTACAGTCTGACAGTGGTGTGTTTGTAGTACAGTCTGACAGTGATGTGTTTGTAGTACAGTCTGACAGTGGTGTGTTTGTAGTACAGTCTGACAGTGGTGTGTTTGTAGTACAGTCTGACAGTGATGTGTTTGTAGTACAGTCTGACAGTGGTGTGTTTGTAGTACAGTCTGACAGTGGTGTGTTTGTAGTACAGTCTGACAGTGGTGTGTTCGTAGTACAGTCTGACAGTGGTGTGTTCGTAGTACAGTCTGACAGTGGTGTGTCCGTAGTACAGTCTGACAGTGGTGTGTTCACAGGTCTCCCATCCTCTCCCTCTGACATGGACGTCCCTGCTGGTCGTCGGCAGCTTCCTGTGGTTCCCCTGACCCTGACCTCCGACCTCCAGCTTCAGGTTACCACCCTCTCTCTCTCCTCTCACCCACATCTCACCCTCTCTCCCCTGGTCTCCCCCTGGTCTCACCCTCTCTCCCCTGGTCTCCCCCTGGTCTCACCCTCTCTCCCCTGGTCTCCCCTTGGTCTCACCCTCTCCCCTGGTCTCCCCCTGGTCTCACCCTCTCCCCTGGTCTCCCCCTGGTCTCACCCTCTCTCCCCTGGTCTCCCCTTGGTCTCACCCTCTCTCTCTCCTCTCACTCACATCTCACCCTCTCTCCCCTGGTCTCCCCCTGGTCTCACCCTCTCTCCCCTGGTCTCCCCCTGGTCTCACCCTCTCTCCCCTGGTCTCCCCTTGGTCTCACCCTCTCCCCTGGTCTCCCCTTGGTCTCACCCTCTCTCCCCTGGTCTCCCCCTGGTCTCACCCTCTCTCCCCTGGTCTCCCCTTGGTCTCACCCTCTCCCCTGGTCTCCCCCTGGTCTCACCCTCTCTCCCCTGGTCTCCCCCTGGTCTCACCCTCTCTCCCCTGGTCTCCCCTTGGTCTCACCCTCTCCCCTGGTCTCCCCCTGGTCTCACCCTCTCTCCCCTGGTCTCCCCCTGGTCTCACCCTCTCTCCCCTGGTCTCCCCTTGGTCTCACCCTCTCTCTCTCCTCTCACCCACATCTCACCCTCTCTCCCCTGGTCTCCCCCTGGTCTCACCCTCTCTCCCCTGGTCTCCCCCTGGTCTCACCCTCTCTCCCCTGGTCTCCCCCTGGTCTCACCCTCTCTCCCCTGGTCTCCCCTTGGTCTCACCCTCTCCCCTGGTCTCCCCCTGGTCTCACCCTCTCTCCCCTGGTCTCCCCCTGGTCTCACCCTCTCTCCCCTGGTCTCCCCTTGGTCTCACCCTCTCCCCTGGTCTCCCCCTGGTCTCACCCTCTCTCCCCTGGTCTCCCCCTGGTCTCACCCTCTCTCCCCTGGTCTCCCCTTGGTCTCACCCTCTCTCTCTCCTCTCACCCACATCTCACCCTCTCTCCCCTGGTCTCCCCCTGGTCTCACCCTCTCTCCCCTGGTCTCCCCCTGGTCTCACCCTCTCTCCCCTGGTCTCCCCTTGGTCTCACCCTCTCCCCTGGTCTCCCCCTGGTCTCACCCTCTCTCCCCTGGTCTCCCCCTGGTCTCACCCTCTCTCCCCTGGTCTCCCCTTGGTCTCACCCTCTCCCCTGGTCTCCCCCTGGTCTCACCCTCTCTCCCCTGGTCTCCCCCTGGTCTCACCCTCTCTCCCCTGGTCTCCCCTTGGTCTCACCCTCTCGCCCCTGGTCTCCCCTTGGTCTCACCCTCTCTCTCTCTCCCCTGGTCTCCCCCTGGTCTCACCCTCTCTCCCCTGGTCTCCCCTTGGTCTCACCCTCTCCCCTGGTCTCCCCCTGGTCTCACCTCTCTCCCCTGGTCTCCCCCTGGTCTCACCCTCTCCCCCTGGTCTCCCCCTGGTCTCACCCTCTCTCCCCTGGTCTCCCCCTGGTCTCACCCTCTCTCCCCTGGTCTCCCCCTGGTCTCACCCTCTCCCCCTGGTCTTCCCCTGGTCTCACCCTCTCTCCCCTGGTCTCCCCCTGGTCTCACCCTCTCTCCCCTGGTCTCCCCCTGGTCTCACCCTCTCCCCCTGGTCTCCCCCTGGTCTCACCCTCTCTCCCCTGGTCTCCCCCTGGTCTCACCCTCTCCCCCTGGTCTCACCCTCTCTCCCCTGGTCTCCCCCTGGTCTCACCCTCTCCCCCTGGTCTCCCCCTGGTCTCACCCTCTCCCCCTGGTCTCCCCCTGGTCTCACCCTCTCTCCCCTGGTCTCCCCCTGGTCTCACCCTCTCCCCCTGGTCTCCCCTGGTCTCACCCTCTCTCCCCTGGTCTCCCCCTGGTCTCACCCTCTCTCCCCTGGTCTCCCCTTGGTCTCACCCTCTCTCTCTCTCCCCTGGTCTCCCCCTGGTCTCACCCTCTCCCCCTGGTCTCCCCCTGGTCTCACCCTCTCCCCCTGGTCTCCCCCTGGTCTCACCCTCTCCCACTGGTCTCCCCCTGGTCTCACCCTCTCTCCCCTGGTCTCCCCCTGGTCTCACCCTCTCCCCCTGGTCTCCCCCTGGTCTCACCCTCTCTCCCCTGGTCTCCCCCTGGTCTCACCCTCTCGCCCCTGGTCTCCCCTTGGTCTCACCCTCTCTCTCTCTCCCCTGGTCTCCCCCTGGTCTCACCCTCTCTCCCCTGGTCTCCCCCTGGTCTCACCCTCTCTCCCCTGGTCTCCCCCTGGTCTCACCCTCTCTCCCCTGGTCTCCCCTTGGTCTCACCCTCTCCCCTGGTCTCCCCCTGGTCTCACCCTCTCTCCCCTGGTCTCCCCCTGGTCTCACCCTCTCTCCCCTGGTCTCCCCTTGGTCTCACCCTCTCCCCTGGTCTCCCCCTGGTCTCACCCTCTCTCCCCTGGTCTCCCCTGGTCTCACCCTCTCTCCCCTGGTCTCCCCTTGGTCTCACCCTCTCTCTCTCCTCTCACCCACATCTCACCCTCTCTCCCCTGGTCTCCCCCTGGTCTCACCCTCTCTCCCCTGGTCTCCCCCTGGTCTCACCCTCTCTCCCCTGGTCTCCCCTTGGTCTCACCCTCTCCCCTGGTCTCCCCCTGGTCTCACCCTCTCTCCCCTGGTCTCCCCCTGGTCTCACCCTCTCGCCCCTGGTCTCCCCTTGGTCTCACCCTCTCTCTCTCTCCCTGGTCTCCCCCTGGTCTCACCCTCTCTCCCCTGGTCTCCCCCTGGTCTCACCCTCTCCCCCTGGTCTCCCCCTGGTCTCACCCTCTCCCCCTGGTCTCCCCCTGGTCTCACCCTCTCTCCCCTGGTCTCCCCTGGTCTCACCCTCTCCCCCTGGTCTCCCCCTGGTCTCACCCTCTCTCCCCTGGTCTCCCCCTGGTCTCACCCTCTCCCCCTGGTCCCCCCTGGTCTCACCCTCTCCCCCTGGTCTCCCCCTGGTCTCACCCTCTCTCCCCTGGTCTCCCCCTGGTCTCACCCTCTCCCCCTGGTCTCCCCCTGGTCTCACCCTCTCCCCCTGGTCTCCCCCTGGTCTCACCCTCTCTCCCCTGGTCTCCCCCTGGTCTCACCCTCTCCCCTGGTCTCCCCCTGGTCTCACCCTCTCCCCTGGTCTCCCCTGGTCTCACCCTCTCTCCCCTGGTCTCCCCCTGGTCTCACCCTCTCTCCCCTGGTCTCCCCTTGGTCTCACCCTCTCTCTCTCTCTCCCCTGGTCTCCCCCTGGTCTCACCCTCTCCCCCTGGTCTCCCCCTGGTCTCACCCTCTCCCCCTGGTCTCCCCCTGGTCTCACCCTCTCTCCCCTGGTCTCCCCCTGGTCTCACCCTCTCCCCCTGGTCTCCCCCTGGTCTCACCCTCTCTCCCCTGGTCTCCCCCTGGTCTCACCCTCTCCCCCTGGTCTCCCCCTGGTCTCACCCTCTCTCCCCTGGTCTCCCCCTGGTCTCACCCTCTCTCCCCTGGTCTCCCCCTGGTCTCACCCTCTCCCCCTGGTCTCCCCCTGGTCTCACCCTCTCCCCCTGGTCTCCCCCTGGTCTCCCCCTGGTCTCACCCTCTCCCCCTGGTCTCCCCCGCAGGTCTCCCCTGAGCCCCTGACCCTAGAGCAGCAGTTGGCTCAGTTCCCGGTCTTCACGCAGCTCTCGCCTCATGCTCAGACCCAGCTCCTCATCGACCTCCAGAAGCACCAGGGCATCCAGCTCATCACTCTGCCCACACCGCCCTCTACTGGCAGCTCCCCGGAGGCCCAGACCCCGGGCTCGGTGAGGCCAGGGCCAGACCTGGGCCAGGACCAGGACCATTGCCAGACCAGGACCAAGACCAGGGCCAGACCAAGACCCAGACCTCTTCCAAGGCTACATAAACACAGAAAAGTGACTGAGCCTGTGGTTAGCCGTGCTTCTATTTAAGATTCTCTGTGTTCTCTGCGCAGTACCGCAACCAGACCGGATCCCCCGCCACGCAGTCCCCCACCTCCCCCGTGTCCAACCAGGGCTTCTCCCCCAGCAGCTCCCCTCAGGTGAGGCCTGGACCTGGATCCGGAAACTTGACCTAATGTATAAAACAGTTCTGTTCTGGACAGGGATTTGGAAACATGAAAAACATAAATATTTTCTGATTATTCAAGTTTAATGTTTGGCTTTTGTCACTTTTGTTCCTTTAGTGAGAACAAACCCATGTTTTTATCCTTTCGTTTGTAAACGCCTCAGACACTGTGCAGGACTTAACCATCTCTCAGTAAAATATTTGTTTTGCCGTGAAGAGGATTTGTAGAAACTTTATGTCGTTTCTTATTTCCAGAAAGATAAAGTTCAAAGGACTTTAAACTTTAACTGACCTCAGACTGAATCTCTCCTGGTGTGTGTTCTTCTGGTGTGTGTGTGCTCCTGGTGTGTGTGTGCTCCTGGTGTGTGTGTCTTCCTGGTGTGTGTGTCTTCCTGGTGTGTGTTCTCCTGGTGTGTTTTCTCCTGGTGTGTTTTCTCCTGGTGTGTGTTCTCCTGGTGTGTGTGTCTTCCTGGTGTGTGTTCTCCTGGTGTGTGTGTTCTCCTGGTGTGTGTCTTCCTGGTGTGTCTTCCTGGTGTGTGTTCTCCTGGTGTGTGTGTTCTCCTGGTGTGTGTCTTCCTGGTGTGTGTTCTCCTGGTGTGTGTCTTCCTGGTGTGTCTCCTGGTGTGTGTCTTCCTGGTGTGTGTGTTCTCCTGGTGTGTGTGTTCTCCTGGTGTGTGTCTTCCTGGTGTGTCTTCCTGGTGTGTGTGTTCTCCTGGTGTGTGTCTTCCTGGTGTGTCTTCCTGGTGTGTGTTCTCCTGGTGTGTGTCTTGCAGCACATCCCGGTGGTCGGCAGTATTTTTGGAGACTCTTTTTACGATCAGCAGCTTTCCTCGAGGCAGACGGCCGCTCTCTCCAACCAGGTCAGGGACTAGCTCGCACTGACCAGACCTCATGCTAACGCCTCACCACATGCTAATGCTAACGCCTCAACTCATGCTTACACTAATGCTAACTCCTCACATCTTGCTAACGCCTTGTCTAATGCTAATTCCTCACGTCATGCTAACGCTAATGCTAACACTAATGCTAATACTAACGCTAATGCTAACACTGACACCAATACTAACGTTAATGCTAACACTGACACTAATGCTAACGCCTCACATCTTTCTAACGCCTCGTCTATTGCTAATGCCTCACGTCATGCTAACGCTAATGCGAACACTAATGCTAATGCTAATACTAACGCTGATGCTAACACTGACACTAATGCTAACGCCTCACCTCATGCAAACACTAATGCTAATGCCTCACCTCATGCTAACGCCTCACCTCACGCTTACTCTTCCCCTCATGCTAACGCTAATGCTAATGCCTCTTCTCATGCTAACGCTAATGCTAACGCCTCTCTGTGTTTGGTCGCAGCTGGAGCAGTTCAACATGATGGAGAACAACATCAGCTCCAACAGTCTGTTCAGTCAGTGCTCCACGCTGAACTTCAGCCAGGCGGCCATGATGGGCCTGAGCCTGCCGGAGGCCCAGCTCGCCTACAGTAACCACGGCAACATCCCCAATATCATCCTCACAGGTAACCACGGCAACGCCCACAACACTGTCCTCACAGGTAACCACGGCAACGACTACAACACCGTCCTCACAGGTAACCATGGCAACACCCACAACACTGTCCTCACAGGTAAACATGGCAACGCAATCCTTACAGGTAACCATGGCAACACCCCCAGCGCCTCTGATCTCTCTCTCTGGTGTCTCCCTGTGGTCTCTCACTGCTTGCTCTCTCTAGTCTCTTGAACTCTCTATAGTCTCTCTCTCTCTCTCTCTCCTAGTCTCTCTGCTCTCTCTCTGCTCTCTCTCAGCTCTCTCTCTGGCCTCTTTCTGGTCTCTCTCTCTGCTCTCTTTAGTCTCTCTCAGGTCTCTCTCTGCTCTCTCTCTGGTCTCTCTCTGCTCTCTTTCCTGTCTTTCCGTGGTCTCTCTCTGGTCTCTCTGTTTTCTCTCAGGTCTCTCTCTGGTCTCTCTCTGGTCTCTCTCCTGTCTCTCTGTGGTCTCTCTCTGGTCTCTCTCTGGTCTCTCTGTGGTCTCTCTGTGGTCCCTCTCAGGTCTCTCTCTGGTCTCTCTCTGGTCTCTCTGTGGTCTCTCTGTGGTCTCTCTCTGGTCTCTCTCTGGTCTCTCTGTGGTCTCTCTGTGGTCTCTCTGTGGTCTCTCTCTGGTCTTACCTCTTATCTCTGTGCTGCAGTGACCGGTGAGTCTCCTCCTAGTCTCTCTAAGGAGCTGAGTAACTCTCTCGCCGGAGTCACGGACGAAAGCTTCGACGCAGACTCTCAGTTTCCTCTGGACGAGCTGAAGATCGACCCCCTGACGCTGGACGGTCTGCACATGCTCAACGACCCCGACATGGTCCTCGCCGACGCCGCCACGGAGGACACGTTCAGGATGGACCGCCTGTGACCGCGGTGGCACCAGCCCGCGGGGGAGGGGCGCGCGGGCAGACGGGACTGGACCAACGGGAGTTTATGAACCGGACCGAAGCGCCGCTAACTTTGCAGTCGAGAGAATGTGAGAAGGACAACGACGAGACGTGAGACCCTTTGATGTCTCGTTGCGGCGTGAGGCGTGACGGCGCGGCGCGAACCGAAGACACGCGTTTTTTGACAGAACTGCGAGAAACGCATGAATGAAAACAAGCGCTGGAACGTCGAAACGAAAGAGTGACGGAAGAAATGTGGAAACTCGACTTTGGACGAAGCTACAGGTACAAACGCAAGAGAAATTACAAATGAGATCGTTTTCAGAAAGGTTTTCGGTCTTGTGAATGGAAATAAATGCAAAATGCTGGTGTAATCGGACCGAAGACCCGGCGTCGGCGCTTCGGGAGACTTTTGAACAATGAGAATGAGTTCAGGCGCGATTTTAGGGAGTTTTGCAACAGAATGTGTAAATGCGCGAGAGAACAGAACGCTCGGGAAGGACACGGGAGCATGGCGCCAACGTCCGACCCGCAAGACGCGTTGTGGGGCCTCAGGTTCTCGGCGCGCAGCGAGACCCGGACGCGCTGTGCTAGCTCGCCGCAGCATGTGGTGTTTTCCGTTTGCGCTTCTGTTCGCGGCGGCGGAGGAGAGGACCCGGCCGCCGTCACCATGGTGCCGTTATCAGCTTTATTTTTTACAACCAAATGTTTTCCCATAGTGTTATTAATTTGAATGTTTTGCGTCTGTTTCTGATGCTTCTGTGTGCGTCGTGTTTGGATATTGGAGGGTTTTAAAGGGCAGTAAAAGGTCCCCATAGCTGCCGCCAAATGTGCATTTTCAGGTTTTTCTGTTTTATTACGAAGCGACGACATCCTGGACCCCGAGACTGTACACAGGACAACGCTTTATTTAACACTAGAGCTTCCGGGGCCGCCATTTTGGAGGCTCCTATTCACAAAAATCAAGGTTTGACATATTCCCCCAAAAAGTGAGTTTCCACCATTTTTATTAAAAGTAAGAAATTAAAAAGGTTTTTGACTATAGTCACTTTAAATACATCTGAAATCTGGTGAATATGAATGAAATGCAGCTAACACAGTCTGGCTAACGGCTAAATGCTAACTACTGACAGTAAACAGTGTGTTGCTATGGTAACTCTCTTCTCTGGTAGAAAACAGAACCAGGACCAGCACCTTGAGAAATTTGACATCAACTAATTTTAGATTCAAATAAATGAAATCAAAGCTAAACTACTCGCACTACAAAAATAAAAGTGACAAAGTTCTGGAGTAATTACACTTAAAATTAACTAAAAATTAAAAGCCGTCAAATTGACTGCCGTCGGTCTGTTCCCGCTCGCACCACTCTCTACTAGAGCCACAATTTGGTGACAGAAGGCTCCTGATTGGTTGATCCTTTTATGGCACATTTCTGGATTTACAAAGATTACACCACGATATAAACTCCAGGATCAAAGAGAGCGCCAAAAAACACAGATTTAAGCCCAAAATGTTGAGTGTGACACATACAGTTAAAAAAGTCAAATTTGAGCACTTCCCTATCAGGCTTCATTGGGTTAGCATTCAGCTAGCATGTTAGCTATGTCCATCTGTATACAGTCTATGGTTCTGGGTCTTGGGTCTGGGGTCTTGGGTCTGGTGTTTTTGGATCTTTTGAAGTGGTCACTGTGATGATTTCGTAACTTGAAACTTTTTCTGGCGTCTCTAAAGCGTGGGTTCTGTGTTCTTGTTGTGGCTGTTTTGACTGTTGTTTCTTGTTCGCTTTTTCTAACGTGGGAAGAAACTTTTAGAAAAAAAGAGAGGTTTATGGCGAGCCGCGGTTATGGCGAGCCGCGGTTATGGGGAGCCGCGGTTATGGCGAGCCGCGGTTATGGGGACGCTTTTACTCGGTCACAGGGATCTCTCACTCGTTGCTCCGTGAAATATAAACTAAATCAGATTAAAACACAAACTTTCAGGTCTTTGATTTTGAATAAAGCCGTATTTAATGAGTCTAAAACTCTCCAGTCCAAATATCACTGCTTCCTGTGCCCTCCATCTGGTCCTTCTTGAGGGTGAGGGCTTCGGAGCTCTAACTGTAGACGCTGCTCCCTCTTCACCGCAACAGTCAGATCACTGCAAAAGCACCAGAACATATATCAGGACAGGACTGAGTGTGACATCACCATAAGGTCAGGAGCTGATTTGAACATAAGCTAGCTGGAGCCATTTACCTTTTATGGGCATTTGTCTGGACGTGTTGCTAAGACGGTTGCTAAGGCAAAGCTAATGTTTCCCCCGAAAATGAAAGCATCTGATTGGACAATTCTTAAATGGCTCATATCTGGATTTACAACGACATAATTCAAATATAAAACACCAGGATTATGAGAGGTTCCTTGTGTTTGTTTGGGTCTGGACCAGGTCTCTCTGTTTGGGTCTGGACCAGGTCTCTCTGTTTGGGTCTGGACCAGGTCTCTGTTTGGGTCTGGACCAGGTCTCCCCAGACGTTGCTTGTGGGTCATGTTCAGATTTCTATGCAAAAGTAACAAAAAATTATCTGCCATTTATGTTTTCAAAAGTGAAGCTGGATTCATCAGAGCGACAAGGTTCTGTTTCATGACCACCCACCATGACTTTAAAGCTGGGGTACGTAACTTTAAAGCTGGGCTATGTAACTTTCAGACCACATCAATAGAACTTCCTGGCTCTAAAACAGTTTGACTCTATCACTATCATCACATCATGAATTTTAGACCAGAGAGAGACCAGAGAGAGAGACCAGAGAGAGACCAGAGAGAGAGCCCAAAGAGAGACCAGAGAGAGAGACCAGAGAGAGACCAGAGAGAGAGCCCAAAGAGAGACCAGAGAGAGACCAGAGAGAGGCCAGAGAGAGAGACCAGAGAGAGACCAGAGAGAGACCAGAGAGAGAGCCCAAAGAGAGACCAGAGAGAGGCCAGAGAGAGGCCAGAGAGAGAGACCAGAAAGAGACCAGAGAGAGAGCCCAAAGAGAGACCAGAGAGAGAGACCAGAGAGAGCCCAGAGAGAGAGCCCAAAGAGAGACCAGAGAGAGAGCCCAGAGAGACCAGAGAGAGACCAGAGAGAGAGACCAGAGAGAGAGGCCAGAGAGAGACCAGAGAGAGACCAGAGAGAGAGACCAGAGAGAGAGGCCAGAGAGAGACCAGGAGAGACCAGAGAGAGAGCCCAGAGAGAGGCCAGAGAGAGAGACCAGAGAGAGACCAGAGAGAGAGACCAGAGAGAGAGACCAGAGAGAGAGGCCAGAGAGAGACCAGAGAGAGACCAGAGAGAGGCCAGAGAGTGAGCCCAGAGAGAGCCCAGAGAGAGGCCAGAGAGAGGCCAGAGAGAGAGACCAGAGAGAGACCAGAGAGAGAGACCAGAGAGAGATCGACCAGAGAGAGAGACCAGAGAGAGAGCCCAGAGAGAGACAAGAGAGAGACCCTAGAGAGAGACCAGAGAGAGCCCAGAGAGAGAGACCAGAGAGAGCCCAGAGAGAGAGACCAGAGAGAGACCAGAGAGAGACCAGAGAGAGAGACCAGAGAGAGAGGCCAGAGAGAGACCAGGACAGACCAGAGAGTGAGCCCAGAGAGAGGCCAGAGAGAGGCCAGAGAGAGGCCAGAGAGAGAGCCCAGAGAGAGACCAGAGAGAGAGACCAGAGAGAGACCAGAGAGAGATAGACCAGAGAGATAGACCAGAGAGAGAGCCCAGAGAGAGACCAGAGAGAGATAGACCAGAGAGATAGACCAGAGAGAGAGACCAGAGAGAGAGCCCAGAGAGAGACCAGAGAGAGACAAGAGAGAGACCCTAGAGAGAGACCAGAGAGAGACCAGAGAGAGACCCTAGAGAGAGACCAGAGCGAGGCGAGAGAGTGTCTAAGTCTAAAATGGTGAGTGTGACTTAAACGTTTTACTGAGCTAGAGGAGCCAAACTTTATACATATTTAACTTTTAGCATTGAGTTGGGTTAGCATTGAGCTAGCAGGTTAGCATTGAGCTAGCAGGTTAGCATTGAGCTAGCAGAATAGCGTCATCTGTCTGTTTTTAGTCTAAAACATGAACCCAGCTTCACTTTTTTTCTACTCGTCTGTTTCAGACTTTACGTTTTGAAAGAACAGTATTTATTATCGTCGGTCGATTCTTGAGTTTGAGAGATTCTTGTTCTCTGAAACTGGAACTTTGTGACCGGTCGGACCGAAGAGTCGCCGATCATTCGCCAATTTCTCACATTGAATATTTACCCTGGAAATACTATGGTTCGAATCTTTATTTTGCCTTTTATTTTTTCAGCAAATATTTTCCATACATTGAATTTATTTATTTATATTTGCATTGTTTACTCCACTGCTCTGTAACAGACGCTTAAAGGTCAACTCTGTATCTACATTTTTTATTTTCTAATTTCTAAAATGGGAAAACCTTTTGGGAATGAATAGCACAACATTTAAACCATGAAGGAAAATGTTAAAGACATGTTTTTCTGGTTTCAAAAAGTGAGAAAAATGTTTGAAATGTTACAGCCGTATCTTACACTTGTATTGCCTGCTTTGTCCAGAGGGGGGCGCTATTTGGAAACAGGTATATTCACATTTACTACTTACTAATTCATGTGAACATAAGCTAGCTGGAGCCAACTTCCTTATATGGGGATTTTTGGTCCGACGGGGTTAGCTTTGCGCCGTAACAGGAGCAGATGTGTTGCTAAGACGGTTGCTAAGGCAAGCTGGAGTTTCCCCAAGAATGAAGGCCTCTGATTGGTCGATCCTTACATGGCTCATATCTGGATTTAAAAAGAAAATATCACATTATAAACACCAGAATCACAGAGAAAACAAAACTACAAGTTGTTTTATCCCAATACCATCGGTTACTGAGAGTTTACATGTTTTATACTCTCTCCACCAGCAGAGGGCGCCACATCCGTCAAAGTCAATGGTGAAAAGCCTGTATATTTTATGAAATGTTAGCAGACCGTAAGTTCGTACTCGTTATATATATAGCGCCTTTTGCAGACCGGAGTCACAAAGCGCTTTCCAAATTGTCGTGCGTCCTCTTTAGCGGTAAGGGAAACCGGCGCACCTGGAGGAAACCGCGATCGGAGTGAAGACCTGTTTCCAGACAAGCCCCTCCCCCCTCTGACGTCTTTACTTTGCACTTTATTTGCTCCTGAAGCGACTGTTCCTCGCGGCGCCTCTGCAGAAAGAAAACAAAAAGGCGATATATTTTATTTTCGTGGTGAAGTTCTATTTTTTTGGCTTGTGTCGTGGTTTTTGCCGCTGTGTGTTTTTGTCCGAAATGCGAAACGACAGCGGAAAGGGCTTTTTTTTAACCAAAGCTGCAAATGTGTTGTATCTGGTGTGTGTCTCTGAGGCTGCGAGTGCGACTCCGGCGGGACGCGAACCCAGGATTCTGCTGAGAGATGACTTTACTGACAACATTATAACTTTACTAACTCTTACAGAGAATAAATAACGTGTTTCTGCCGCGTCATCCCCGGGGGAACTAGTAAAATTTCAATAGTATTTGGATATTTGGGCCAAAAGTACCTATGATACGTATAAATGTAAATGATCAGAATAAACTCAGAGAAAACACAAAAGTGAAGCAGATAATTATTATTAACATCACAATAGAAGAATCAGACTCTTATAATATATCGATACTGAACAGAACTGATTTTTTCACTCATTTTGACGCATCATTCATGTTTCTTATTTAATTTATTATTATCCATTTATTCTATTTTTATCTAATTCACGTATTTATTTATATGTTTGTCATAATTTTCATGGTTGTGTTTTTCATTTGTATTAATTTAAAAGATTTTTAAAGATTTTTTTTTCATCAATATTCTTTCTTCATTAATAATTTTAAATTTTAAGCAATTTATGATTTATTTTTGTTTTGTCTTATTTTTTTGTTATTATTGTTTTTTTTAATCAAATGTAGTTCATTTATATTGATTATTACTGTATATACGTTTTTTATATTTAAATGGATAATTTATTTTTGTTATTAATATTATTCTTATTATATTTTAATATTAATTTAAATGTTGTTTTAAATTTGAAAGTATAATTTATATTTGATTAATTCATGGATTTGTTTAATTTTCATTTTTATCATTGATCGTCTCTGTTCCTGTTTTATTCATTTATATATTTTATATTAATTTGTTTCTTCATTAATTGTTATTTCATATTTATATACATATTTTCATCATTTTGTTTTATATTTATTTAATACTAATTTATATATTTTTATATTTTATAATTTACTCATATTTAATTGTTTTTGTTTAAACTCAAACCTCATCAGGATCATTCATTAAAGGCAATTAACGTACAGAAAGTTCTAATAAAACACTAAAAATAGAACAATAACATTCTGAACCAGAGCTGGCCAAAGTGCGGCCCAGGGGCCACCTACGGCCCTCCACCATGTCCCAGTTTGGCCCTCTATGTCCCAGTGCGGCCCCCCACAGAGTCCCAGTGCGGCCCCACAGAGTCCCAGATTGGCCCTCTATGTCCCAGTGCGGCCCTCTATGTCCCAGTGTGGCCCCCTCAGAGTCCCAATGCGGCCCTCTATGTCCCAGTGCGGCCCCCTCAGAGTCCCAATGCGGCCCTCTATGTCCCAGTGCGGCCCCCACAGAGTCCCTGTGCGGCCCCCTCAGTAAAACACTCCAGATCCTGGCGCCGCACGTCTCGCCCGACGCCAAACGCAGAGAAAGGAGAAGTGTTTCTTTCTGCGCACCGCGGTTGAACTTTGGCAGCTACTGAAGCGTTTGGAGAAGAGGATATTTTGGAATCATGTAAATGTGTCGCGCTGTTCAAATGCTGCAGAAAATCTACTTATCGTGTCATAAATGTGAAGTCAAAAAGCCAAGGTTTCGTTTGTACTTTATCCGTGTCTAAAGCAGCACCATGGCACCACAGAGCAGAGACCAATGTCCACAGCAGCAGGGCCGTATCCAGCTGCCTGAGGGCCCCCATGCTAAAGTCCCCAGGGGCCCCCTCTGCCTCATGCACGTTTCTGTAATACACTTTATTATTTCAAACATAAACAACTGGTACAACATGACACTTATCTTTATGAAAGAAGAAAACTGAAAATCTCTCGCTCTCTGGTCTCTCTCACTGGTCGCTCTCTCTCACTGGTCGCTCTCTCTCTCTGGTCTCTCTCTCTCACTGTCCTCCCTCTATCTGGTCTCTCTCGCTCTCTAGTCTCTCTCTCTGGTCTCTCTCTCTCACTGTCCTCCCTCTATCTGGTCTCTCTCGCTCTCTAGTCTCTCTGGTCCCTCTCTAGTCTCTATCTCTGGTCTCTCTCTAGTCTCTCTCTCTCTCTCTCTGGTCTCTCTCTCTCTAGTCTCTCTCTGGTCTCTCTCTTGTCTCTCACTGGTCTCTCTCTGGTCTCTCTCTTTCACTGGTCTCTCTCTCTCTAGTCTCTCTCCCTCTCTGGTCTCTCTCTCTCTATAGTCTCTCTGGTCCCTCTCTAGTCTCTCTCTCTGGTCTCTCTCTACTCTCTCTCTCTCTCTGGTCTCTCTCTCTCTAGTCTCTCACTGTTCTCTTTCACTGGTCTCTCTCACTGGTCTCTCTCTCACTGGTCTCTCTCTCACTGGTCTCTCTCTTTCACTGGTCTCTCTCTCACTGGTCTCTTTCACTGGTCTCTCTCTCACTGATCTCTCTCTCACTGGTCTCTCTCTCTCATCTCTTGTCTCCACTGGTCTCTCTCTCTCTGATCTCTCTCTTGTCTCTCACTGGTCTCTCTCTCTCTGATCTCTCTCTTGTCTCTCATGTCTCTCCTGGTCTCTCACTGGTCTCTCTCACTGGTCTCTCTCTCTCTGATCTCTCTCTGTCTCTCTCACTGGTCTCTTTCACTGGTCTCTCTCTCACTGGTCTCTCTCTCTCTCACTGGTCTCTCTCTCTCTCTAGTCTCTCACTGGTCTCTTTCACTGGTCTCTCTCTCACTGGTCTCTCTCTCTCTGATCTCTCTCTTTCTCTCACTGTCTCTCTCTCTCTCTCTTCTCTCACTGGTCTCTCTCTCACTGGTCTCTTTCACTGTTCTCTCTCTCTCTCTCTGCTCTCTGTCTCTGTCTCTCACTGGTCTCTCTCTCACTGGTCTCTTTCACTGGTCTCTCTCTCTCACTGTCCTCTCACTGGTCTCTCTCTCACTGGTCTCTCTCTCTCACTGGTCTCTCTCTCACTGGTCTCTTCTCTCTCTCACTGTCTCTCTCTCTCTCACTGGTCTCTCTCACTGGTCTCTCTCTCACTGGTCTCTCTCACTGGTCTCTCTCTCACTGGTCTCTCACTGGTCTCTCTCTCACTGGTCTCTCTCACTGGTCTCTCTCTCACTGGTCTCTCTCTCCTGTCTCTCTCTCTGGTCTCTCTCTCTCTGATCTCGCTCTTGTCTCTCTCACTGGTCTCTCTCTCACTGGTCTCTCTCTCACTGGTCTCTCTCTCACTGGTCTGGGGACAACTGTAGCGTGTTTTGGACCTAGATTCTGTTTTTAAAAGTAGTGTTTTGCATCAGAGTTATTCTTAATCACTTTGGGATCCGTCTAATTCAGGTGTAGTCTGGACTACAGAGGTCTGGACCGGGCTCTGCCGCAGGACCAGGCCTCGGTTCCAGAAGGTTCCATGGTGCTGCTTTTCTCTGGCGCAGTGACGTGTGCAGTGCTGTGGTCGAGTCTCCTGCTGTTTGAGCTTTTCTCGTGTTTTGGTTCAGAGACGACGTCCCTTTAATCACAGGGTTTTATAGAAACGACGTCAGAATCTACAGAAAAACGGTAAAAAGTTAAGTTCACGTCAGAACGGGGCTGGGGTCACGGTCGAGCCACAGGGGTCCAGGCTAAAGCTAACCCATACTAAAGCTAACTTAGGCTAAAACTCTGTCAAGGTAAATCTTACTCCTGCTAAAGCTAACTTAGGCTAAAGCTAATTTCTGAAGCTAACTCATGTTCAATCTAACTCATTATAAAGCTAACTAATGCTAAAGCTAACTCATGTTAAATATACTCATGCTAAAGCTAACTCATGTTAAATATACTCACGCTAAAGCTAACTCGTGTTAAAGCTTACTTAGGCTAAAGCTAACTCAAACTATTGCTAACTCATGCTAAAGCTAACTCTTGCTAAAGCTATTGCATGCTAAATCTATCTCATGCTACTGCTTAATCATGTGAAAGCTAACTAATGCTAAAGCTAACTGTAAACCAAAGCATGTCTTAATTCTGTGTTTTAAGTTGCTTCCACAAACTTCCTGTCGTCTCCTGTGAGTGAACGCAACTTCTCTGAGTGGTTAGCTACATGCTACGTTCATAACAAGTTCCATGGGAGAGGGCAGAGAAGTGCTGTAGACGTGGCTAGCACGTTATGGAAAGACTCATATAACAGTTAGCCAGAGTTAGCTTTAGCCTGTGTAATCTATAGTCTGTGCTAGCTTTAGCCTGAACCCAGGCCTGGCGTTAGCTCGTGACTAAACCGGCCCAGATTATTACATCACCGTCGTCTCGTTAGCTGTAGTCAAATCTCTGTCGCATCTGTTTAAAAGAAGACGGGGTTTTGTCGGCGGCGAAAGGTGTCGTTAGCATCGTTAGCTCCGTTAGCATCGTTAGCTCCGTTAGCATCGTTAGCTTCGTTAGCTCGTTAGCTCCGTTAGCATCGTTAGCTCCGTTAGCATCGTTAGCTCCGTTAGCATCGTTAGCTTCGTTAGCTCCGTTAGCTCCGTTAGCATCGTTAGCTCCGTTAGCATCGTTAGCTCCGTTAGCATCGTTAGCTTCGTTAGCTCCGTTAGCATCGTTAGCTCCGTTAGCATCGTTAGCTCCGTTAGCATCGTTATCGTTAGCTCCGTTAGCTTCGTTAGCTCCGTTAGCATCGTTAGCTCCGTTAGCATCGTTAGCTCCGTTAGCATCGTTAGCTCCGTTAGCATCGTTAGCTTCGTTAGCTCCGTTAGCATCGTTAGCTCCGTTAGCATCGTTAGCTCCGTTAGCATCGTTAGCTCCGTTAGCTCCGTTAGCATCGTTAGCTCCGTTAGCATCGTTAGCTCCGTTAGCATCGTTAGCGCAGCAGCATGACGTTCCCGAAACCCCCCTGTATATTGTCTTTGCTCTTGTTTCTATTTTGTAAGCTGTCTTTCCAAATGCAAATTGAAAAAAGATTATTTTGGATATGTGCATGCGAAACGTGACCTGTTCAGAATGTGGATTTACACTAAAAGCTGTTCCAACCTCCGTGTCCTGAGAGCTTTATTTACACATTATCTGGTCCTGGATTCAGCAGCATTTCAACAAACTTTTTCTTTATTTTAAATTATATGAACCAGTTTTAGCACTAATCCAAGCCCGTAAACATGACTAGATTTTCATGAAACTAGTATATAACTAAAACTCATGCTAAAGCTAACTTGGGCTAAAGCTCATTTTAATCAAACTAGTATAAAAACTATGGAAGCCCGTTTCCGCCATGTAAAAAAAAAAGAAAAGCCTACAGATACTTGAGTGTAAAAGTCGTAATTACGAGTTTTCTCCTGCCTCTGTCTGTGGTTCTCCTGCCTCTGTCTGTGGTTCTCCTGCCTCTGTCTGTGGTTCTCCTGCCTCTGTCTGTGGTTCTCCTGCCTCTGTCTGTGGTTCTCCTGCCTCTGTCTGTGGTTCTCCTGCCTCTGTCTGTGGTTCTCCTGCCTCTGTCTGTGGTTCTCCTGCCTCTGTCTGCGGTTCTCCTGCCTCTGTCTGTGGTTCTCCTGCCTCTGTCTGTGGTTCTCCTGCCTCTGTCTGTGGTTCTCCTGCCTCTGTCTGTGGTTCTCCTGCCTCTGTCTGTGGTTCTCCTGCCTCTGTCTGTGGTTCTCCTGCCTCTGTCTGTGGTTCTCCTGCCTCTGTCTGTGGTTCTCCTGCCTGTCTGTGGTTCTCCTGCCTCTGTCTGTGGTTCACCTGCCTCTCTCTGTGGTTCTCCTGCCTCTGTCTGTGGTTCTCCTGCCTCTGTCTGTGGTTCTCCTGCCTCTGTCTGTGGGTCTCCTGCCTCTGTCTGTGGTTCTCCTGCCTCTGTCTGTGGTTCTCCTGCCTCTGTCTGTGGTTCTCCTGCCTGTCTGTGGTTCTCCTGCCTCTGTCTGTGGTTCTCCTGCCTCTGTCTGCGGTTCTCCTGCCTCTGTCTGTGGTTCTCCTGCCTCTGTCTGTGGTTCTCCTGCCTCTGTCTGTGGTTCTCCTGCCTCTGTCTGTGGTTCTCCTGCCTCTGTCTGTGGTTCTCCTGCCTCTGTCTGTGGTTCTCCTGCCTCTGTCTGTGGTTCTCCTGCCTCTGTCTGTGGTTCTCCTGCCTGTCTGTGGTTCTCCTGCCTCTGTCTGTGGTTCACCTGCCTCTCTCTGTGGTTCTCCTGCCTCTGTCTGTGGTTCTCCTGCCTCTGTCTGTGGTTCTCCTGCCTCTGTCTGTGGTTCTCCTGCCTCTGTCTGTGGTTCTCCTGCCTCTGTCTGTGGTTCTCCTGCCTCTGTCTGTGTTCCTGTGTCTCCTGCCTCTGTCTGTGGTTCTCCTGCCTCTGTCTGTGGTTCTCCTGCCTCTGTCTGTGGTTCTCCTGCCTCTGTCTGTGGTTCTCCTGCCTCTGTCTGTGGTTCTCCTGCCTCTGTCTGTGGTTCTCCTGCCTCTGTCTGTGGTTCTCCTGCCTCTGTCTGTGGTTCTCCTGCCCTGTCTGTGGTTCTCCTGCCTCTGTCTGTGGTTCTCCTGCCTCTGTCTGTGGTTCTCCTGCCTCTGTCTGTGGTTCTCCTGCCTCTGTCTGTGGTTCTC